ATTCAGCAACTAGATATAAACAATGCATTCCTACATGGGGATCTTGAAGAGGAAGTCTATATGGTCCTACCCCCTGGATATCAGATTGAGAACAAGAACAAGGTTTGCAGGTTATTGAGGTGTCTTTATGGCCTAAAGCAGGCTAGTAGACAATGGAATGCCAAGCTAACAACAGCCTTGCAAGACAATGGGTTTAAACAATCAGCAGCTGACCCATCTTTGTTCACTAAAGCTTCAGACAAGTCTTTAATGGCTCTCTTAATCTATGTTGATGATATTCTAGTTGCAGGTTCTAATTCTCAACAGATAAACAACTTGAAAGAGTTTCTGGACAAGACTTTTAAGATAAAAGATCTTGGTCATATAAACTACTTCTTGGGGCTTGAGGCTTTCAGAACTGACAATGGTCTCAACCTATGCCAAAGAAAATACACCTTGGAAATCTTGAAAGAGAGTGGTTTCCTAGGGGCAAAGCCAGTTCATACTCCCATCAGTGCAGGGCAGAAGCTTAGCAACTTTGAAGGAACTCTCCTTGACAAACCAGAAGTATATAGAAGACTGGTTGGAAAATTGTTATACCTAACAAACACAAGGCCAGATATCACTTATGCTGTGCAGCAATTGAGCCAGTTTGTTGATAATCCTAGGGATACCCATCTTATGGCTGCTCATAGGGTACTTAGATACCTGAAAGGATCCCCAGGGAAGGGGTTATTCTACCCAGCTAATTCTGCTATTAAATTACAGGGATTCTCTGATTCAGATTGGGCCACCTGTGCAGATTCTAGAAAGTCTATAACTGGATTTTGCATCTATCTTGGGCAGTCATTGATCTCATGGAAGACTAAGAAGCAGGTCACTGTGTCAAGATCATCCTCTGAAGCTGAATATAGAGCTCTAGCATCCACAGTCTGTGAAATACAATGGCTTCTATACCTGTTAGATGATCTAAAAGTTAAGCCCAACAGTCCCACTACTCTTTTCTGTGACAGCCAATCTGCAATAGCAATAGGGGAAAATCATGTCTTCCATGAGAGGACCAAACATATTGAAATAGACTGCCATGTTGTCAAGCAAAAGGTCCATGAAAAGGTGATAAAACTTATGTCTATATCCTCACAAAAACAAGTAGCTGATGGCTTCACAAAAGGACTACCAAGGCTGCTGTTTGATGCTTTCCACTCTAAGCTGGGCCTTCACGACATTCATGCTCCAGCTTACCGGGGGGGGGGGGGGGGGGGGGGGGGGGTGATAAAATAGACATCAAAGTCTTTTTTTCTGTTAACCAAACTGCCAAGGGCTTTCTTGTATTTTCTCATCTTATAACTACTTTTGGTAGTTATCGTGTAACAGTGTATATAACTAGTTTCTTCTTTCTTGGAAGAACAGTTTTTAGCTTTGCTTGTAATCTTCACGTTTCCAGTTCAATGCATTCAGCTCTCCCTTTTCCAGTTAACTCATCCAACATTGATTCACTCCATACTTGAGTTCTCAACACAGGGACGGAGCCAGGACAGAATAGTGAGGGGGCCAACTACGATTGAAGTACTAAATCAAATACATTGGTATCCCGTTAACATATCTCGAAATAATCATTACATTACAAATTCAATAAAGTTTAGAATAAATCATTTATAATTGAATCTATATTAAATTATTTTGCAATATGCTTTTCAATGCACATTGCTTTGTACGGTTGAAAGAATGAAAACATTCATGAATGTTTTAAAAGACTATTGATTATTTCTTGAAAAACCCTCTTCACAACATAACATAATAGCAATTGTTTTCTCAAATACATATACTACACAATTGTTACATTATTATGCATTTTAAATTAAATACAAAATTTATCACACAACCACAAATTTACATAATTGACCAAACAAATGTACCTTGATATCCATGATTTAGAATCAAACAAAACAATTATTTAAGATAAACAATAGAATATGAAACAAAAATTAACCAAACAAGTAGTTAGGAAAAAAAAAACAAAAAAAAAAATAAAACAAAAATTAACTTGAAAAATATGCATAGATTTTGTTAATGACAAATTATCTTATTATAACATATATGCCGCATATATGCATGGTTCTAGAGAGAGAAACTAGTAAGTGGTTAAATGAGGTTTAATTTGAATGTGAGTCAACAATATAGAGAATACATAATTTGAAATATGAGAGAACTGAAAAAGTTGAGAAGATGAAGAAATTTATAACTTTACCGGTAAGATTAATTAAGTGGAGGGGGGCCAAATATTTTTAAAAAACAATAAAATTTTAAAATTCTATATAATATTTTTAAAAATAATTTAATACATATATAATATTAAAAAGAATTTGGGGTGGGGGAGGGGGGCCAACCCCCTAAGCATGCACTTGCCTCCGTCCCTGCCTTAGTTCATTTAATTAGGAATGTGTTGGCAAGACCTTGTGGTTTAATGATACTCAGGTTGGACTTTCAAATTGGAGGTTATGAGTTTGAGTTTTAGTGGATGCAGTATGTTGAGAAATTAGTTATGAACAGATACTGCATTGTAATAGAGTTAGTAGTATTCAAAAAAAAATAGGAATGTGTTAAATTTATGTTTGGTTAATATTAGGGAAAAGTATCTTTTCAATTATTATTTATTTTAATAACCTAAATATATACATATGTTTAGAAAAAATGACGTGTTTAACCCTTGAATTGTTTCATACTAGTTTACCAAGTTCTTGTATTATGAGTAAATACCTAAAATGGTCCCTCGACTATAGCTAAATTCACAAATTGGTCTTCGACTTTCAATTTCAACCAATTAAGTCCTTAACTTTGCAATTTTAACACGATTTGATCCTCCGTCTATTTGACCATTTGTTGATTGTGATTTTTGAAGATATATATGTAATTTCATGGTCCATCGTCGATTTTTTAAGGTTCCGGTTGCATTTTTAGACTGCACTCTAGTTGAGTTCTTACCAGAGCGAAGAATACGACGTGTTTTCGAAACGGTGCAACGTCATCCTGGAGGCCTCCATGTGCTCGACGAGAGTTGCAGGTTCTTCTGGAGATTGTCGATGACGGCGCAGCCGCCGGCGATGATGCAGAATCGAGGCGAATGATGCAGAATCGTGAAATTACATATATATCCTCAAAGATCACGGTCAACAAATTGTCAAATAGACGGATGACCAAATTGTGTTAAAATTACAAAGTTAAGGACTTAATTGGTTGAAATTGAAAGTCGATGACCAATTTGTGAATTTAGCTATAGTCGAGGGATCATTTTGGGTATTTACTCTTGTATTATTTCCATAAGGACTTTTCATCTTTCAATTACTTTAGTTACTCTTTTCACTTATGATGGGATGAAACCATTACAACATAAAAGAAGTTTTATAAAACTTACAGAAAATGACATTTTTGATCATTAAATTCTTCCTACGATCATTTTTTACCCTTTAATTATTATTTTGTTAACTCTTTTCACTTATAGACATTTATTTTTTTATGAAATTTCAATTCTATTTTTCTTCAAATATTTTTCAACGAACCAAACGCGCCGTTAGCGTCATATAAAAGTGACCTAATTTAGCTATTCCCGCAAACCTAAGCTGATTGAAGTTGGAGATAATGAGATATATTGTGTGGTGACGAGGATATGAGGGTAGTCCCAACTTCCAACCAAATATAGGATGTAAAAATAGATGGTTGAACAGCAGCTTAATTTTAATTTTACGGTTTAAGTTTTGAGAAATATACTTGCTGGTGTAGTTTCTTTTTTCCAAATCATTCTCTACTTCTCTCAAAAAGTTGAATCCTCAATCCCAATGACTCATCACACCCCGATTCGACAGAATATTTAGGAGGATGTAAATCACGGTGACTCAATAGCTCAACGAGCAGATAAGACTAAATCCATTTTGGACATAATTCTCACACTACTGAAGTTCAAACCTTGGTCTCTTCTTCCAAATCATTCTCTATTGTATAGTATGTACTGCACAATGACAATTGAGAACCAAAAGTAGAAACATTCTTGCGTAAGGCATAAAGTCTTAACCGCCCATTTATTTAGGTAAACAAAAATGATAAAAGGTTACCTAGACAAAAAATTATCACTAAAATCTTTCACCAATCTGACGTAATAATAAAATTCCTTTTATATATTAATTAATTATTATGAATTGACTGACCTTACCACACATTAAAAAAAATAAAGAAATAAGAATCAAATAGGTCATTGAACTGCACACAATAATGCAATTAGATCACTGAACCTAAAAAAAACTTACAATTGGATCCCTAAACTAACCAATTTTACACAATTCCTCCCATTTACAGTTTTCAACAGGCAACCCAAATTAAATTATCTTTTAAAAAAATAAATTTTAAAAAATATTTATTGAAAAAAAAAAACAAAAAAAAACTTCCAGCCAGAAATGAAGAAACCTTCTTCAACTTCGGCTAGTTTCTTAGTCTCCATAAGAAACAAGATATGAACTAAACAACTATATTTTCAAACAAAATGTTCCCATTTCTAATTGTCCTATTGAATTCTATCTATTGTGCATGTGTCCCATTTCTTTCTTCTAAAATGGGCATGTCTCTCATAGGCTATTGAGAAATTAATGGACTGGAATTCACTTGAGCAAAAGTTCAGTAAACATTTTGTGTCTATATTGACCACTAAAGTGCTAATTGCAACAAAAAATTGTCACTACAAAGTGAATAAGCATGGTAAATGAAATATTATAACTACTTGTTCCTAGGCCTTGTTGATCTCACGTATGCCCAATCAAACATAGGAACCACCTGCACCAGAATATGAACCAATAATTCACAGCTCCATATTTCTGAGGCTGTCTACAAACTCCAAGGCTTACAATTATCTTCTAATTGACAATGTAGTGAGGGCATATCTAGTTAAAGAATTGCTCTTCTACTTGTTCTAATGATTGACTCACTATACTTCTACTCATTCTTTGCTTCGTTTAGGGGAAACTTACCTTAATTAATATCCCATAGCTCTACTGAGTTGATAAAAACACAAGGATTTCAAAGTTTGCATTACAGTCTCAAGTTGAAAATAACACAAAAGGGGGCAAATATTTGTGCGGAGCTCATACTTCAAAATCAAGGATATGATTAGAGTGTACAACGTTGTAAAACCAAATACTAGCTCCTAACGATGCACAGATAAGCTAACAGTAAAAGACATAAAACACAACCACCAAAAGACATTACTGTTGGCGGGCTTCGACTTTCTTCTTCTGCCAGAGCCTATCAAGACCACTGTCTGCATCTCCCTGCAAGACAAATTCAAGCATTTCATTAGGCTAGAATTTTTTAGGGATGTATTAGGCATAAATAACACAATCACATTCAAAGAGCTATTAGATAACTTAATAGACATGGAGTCTGAATTTCGTTAAGTGCTATTTAACACTTTGTGCATAATAGTATAACAAACCGATCAAGAATAAATACAGTACATAACAAAAATTCAAATAGTCAAAGGCCACCACAACTTCTAACGCCTCAGTACTTGAAGATTACCTCATCAAAGTTAAAAGAATATCCAGCATGCTTCATAAAATGAACACAGAGAAAAAGAACGCAGCACATGCACCAACAAACAACTATCAAGAAATTTGAGTGTAAAAAATGCAGTGATGCAGAGATGAAGGCTTGGTATGCATCTAGTCTAGGGTATTATAGCAAAGTTGTGCGAAATATCAACCAACAAAATATAACGACTAACACAAGGGAATATTGATTACATGACATCCTTAAATTTCATGAGAGGAAATGCCTTCACAATTGTGAGAGTGTAGTTATAATGGAAAATTACAGCACCAGGCTCCTATAAATGATAGCATCAGACTCCTCATAAATGCTACTAAACACCCAACAATTATTTTGTCAAGCAAACTTGAAGAGAAAGAAATTAGAGTGTCACCCACTTTATAAATTACAGAATAACAAAAATTCAACATCAACTTGCCTGCGCACGAATAAATCCACACAAAGCAAAAGTGGTGTACTTTCCATCATATACGCCATTCTCATTCAAATGACCAACATTTATCTGGACAGATGCATGATCCTTAGAAGTGATCAGCCTATTTGTGGCCGAGCTGCATTGACACAAAATATTGTTAACTTGTGCACATGACATAATCAGCCACAAGTAGTTACCCCCTTTTCTCACATTTTCTTATGTTTAATATCATGATATGTCAGTCAAAACAGAACATATGAATCCAATCAAAAAGAGGTGAGAGATAAATACCACTTCCTCGGGATATAGAGATCCATATTTTGTCCCTCATCGTTCTGCATCTTAGCAACGTGATTTGAAACAAGCAAAACTTAAAAGGTTAAAGCACCTGAGTACAGCAACAAACAATTACTGTTAGTAGAAGAGCAAACAAGTATTCCCCTTCTAATTAAGGAGTTTGAATTCAGTTTCAGATAATTTACTTTGATATATAAATACAAACCTAATGCACTAATACCACAGATTCCATATTTTCCTCAATTTTGAAAAAAGTATTGCAATATTTCGTACCCAATTTATATAATCAAAGTGTCTATTCCCCTAAAATTAAAAGCTTTTAAGCTCTTGAACTGCACAAATTCAAAGCTTAAGCTTTATTATAAATCATTCTTAAGAACCTACTTTAACATAACCAATTCAGCTAATTCCAAGTTAACCACTGAGCTCCAAACACTGAAACTAATTTGTCCTTTTCACCAAAGCTAACTAATCACCAAACCTAAGCATTTTGAAAACAGAAAACTTCTAACTTGTATAATATTACATATCATTAGAGATAATAAGGCTTATCAATTTCTTATATATTGTACTGCATCTTTCACAAATCACAATCACATTTGGGCCAATTGAACAAAATAAGAAGACATGCCCAAAACCATATATTTTAGTCGAGTGGAGATTAATTGGCAAGTAATAAGCGAATATAAATCGATTTTCATGCCTTAGATCAAAACGCAAAATGAAAAACACATAAACCTAACTAGTAGATCACCGTTTGATAACAATTGCCTGCGGATGGATATGTCATTGAAGAACATAAAGACTAAAAAGCACACGCGTGAATATATGATAGATATAGAGAGAGAAAGTACCGTGGACGGGAGCGAGAACTGCGAAGAAGATGGCGAAGATGCGACTGAGAAGAAAGAGTGGAGGCGCTATGTTGGTTTATATTCGTTGCACAGCCAAAACCCTATTGCGCTAAATCAGAAGGTTTATGGACTAAAATGACCCAGGTTTTGAGCATTGTGCCCCGACATTTTAACTTTGTATTTTTTATTTTACTAGTATTTCTGTCCGTGCAATGCACAAAATAGATTTGTTGTAATATATTAAGAATATTTGAATTAATATATAATTTTTAAAATTAGAAGTTATAATAATATATTAATTGCCTTAATAAGTTATAATAATATTGTTAAATTGAAATAATTAAAAATAATGTGTTCACAGTACAAAAGTTTTTATAATTAACTATTAATTTTTATTGTCTAATACAAATTGTCAATTATTAATATTATCTATGGTAAATTATTGTATACCATGTAATATTAAAATTATTAGGTATTATTTTTATAATTGAGGTATAATATTATTAAATCAAAATTGTTTAAAATATATAGATCCACATTAAGAAAAACCTTATTAATTTCATATATTAAAATTATATATTTATATTAAAAGTGAAGTTATAAATAACTATGTTTCAATAAGTTTAGTTATTCCCTAAGTTATATATGGTTAATGAATTTTTTCCTATATTAGATAATACTTATATATGATTTACCCGTATTAACCATCACTATATTAGATTAATATATAATTATGTTTATATAATATATTATTAAATCTAAACATATGGTTAATATTTACTCAATATTATTTTAAAGGTATTATAATTATAAATTTAGAATTATAACTTTTGTATATGAAAAATATAGAAACTTGAATAGCTTAAATCACAATTATTAAAAATAATGTGCCTGCAATACAAAATAAACTATATTTACTTTAATAATTAATTATTATTAATATAATTGTGTAATATAAATTTACAATTATTAATAATTACTAGTATTTCCACCCGTGCGATACATGGAATGAATTTGTTGTAATATGTTAAGAATATTTGGATCGATATATAATTATTTAAATTAGAACATTAAATATTATATAGTGAAATTAAAGATATATATGGTTAGGTTTGTTTATGTGTTTTGATGTTATCATTGCTTGAATTTGAGCAAATAATTGCTAAAATTAATAGTTAATGTGTACATGTACGCATGCGGTGCTGTAACTTTAGATATTTTATTTATCAGTGTTTAGTATTTTTATAAATTAGGCAAATGTGCTAGTTCTCTAGAAACTCAGTTATAGAAATGAATTGTTATCCTAATTCATTTGTATGGAAGATATATTTGTTGTTTAGGTATATATAGCAATTTTATCATTTTTAAAAAATATAATATCACCAATTGTATTTACTTTTTTTTTATTATTATCTTTTTGGGGAAAAAATGAGGGGATAATCCAGAATCATTAGTTGATTCTCACTATGTTGCTATGACCCAAGAGGCCAAGTTCATCCTCTCGCACAAATCTTTCCATGAAGCTAGTGACATTCTCATAGTATCTCGTCACTTTGTCATCATCCAAGGCATGTTTAGCAATGGAGTCATCAACCTTGTTTTGCTCCCTCGGGATGTGATCTAACTCAATCTAACTCTTAGTTTCCAAATGAAACTCCAATCCTCCTTGTCGTTCATCTCACTATCGCCTTGCAAAATGTTGTACGTTGAGCTAGTGGTGAACTGTCCACTCTCGTACCGTTTACACTCCAGCCCAGAGTATCTTGTTTGCTAGCGTCGTTAAGGATTACCTTCCCCATGAGTTGTCTTCGTTTAGCATGATGGAGACCAATATCAATTCGGTCCCATTTCCAGTGTCCCATGCATCAGCCACTGTCATTGCCTCATCGCCTCTGTTCATGGGACCAACTAACCAATCTCTAATAGGAAAGTCTCCGAGCCAACGATCAATCCAGAAGAGCGTATTTCTGCCATTCCTAACCACTTTCACCGCACCCTTCTCAAGGACATGGGCTGCGGCACATATACCTTTCCAGGCATTCGAATCAGACGTTCTTCTCTTCATGTGTCCAATGCAAGCCCCAGCCTTCATATATTTGTTGGTCAGGACCTGAGCCCAGGTTTTGTCATTCTCTTTGAGGGTTCTCCATCCTAGTTTTGCTAGGAGGGAGATATTCATCCTTCGCATAGATTTCAGGCCGAGCCCTCCCTCGTTCTTGGAATGGATCACTGTCTCCCAATTGACCAAACTAGTCTTCCTAGTTTGCCCATCGCCACCCCATAGAAAGTTTCTAGTCATCTTGTCGATGTCATCGCTAACCCCTTTGGGGATGAGCATGGACTGCATGGCGTAGGTAGGTATCACGTTGAGGACTGACTGAGTAAGCACCTGCCTTCCCGCTAGGCTAAGGAACCGGGTTTTCCAACCCTCTAGTTTGCTACGAACTCTGTCCAAAATGCCTTTGCAATGATCTCTCGTGATTCGCCCATGCAAGGACGGGACTCCCAAGTACCTTCCTAAGTCATCGGTCGTGGGCATGCCAGCAATAGTCGTGAGTTTATCCACTATTTCCCTGCAAACATTTTTAGAAAAGAAGATGTTAGACTTAGATTTATTAACCTTTTGACCTGAGATCTTACACAATTTCTCCAAGCAATCCATGATGACTGTGTGCATTTGGTCCTCCTTGGCTTTTGAGAAAAGGACCATATCATCAGCGAAGAACATGTGAGAGATGCTCGGACCATCATTGGATGCCAAGACTCCTCTCCATCGGCCTTGAGAAACAGCTTCGGTGATAATGTGACCCAGTCTCTCAATGCAAAGAACGAAAAGGTACGGGGACATCAGATCTCTTTTTCGGACCCCCCCGCTCTGGTTTGAACTTATCCAGATTCCTCCCTTCCCACAGAATGGACATCCAAGAGGTTCAACACAATTCATATTGTTCCTGGTCCAAGCATGATTAAAACCGATATACTGGATGGTGTCACGGATGAAGTTACAATCAAGACGATCATAGACCTTCTCAAGATTGATTTTAAGAACATGTAACCGGGATGACGCTTGTCCGTGCGAATCGTGTGAAGGACTTCTTGATAAATTACAATATTGTCCGTAATCTAACGCTCGGCACAAAACTGCTTTGATTGGGGCAAGTCAGCTCCGGCATAACTCTCTTAAGCCTGTTCGTCATAACTTTAGTAATAAGCTTATATGCCATGTTGCAAAGGCTTATAGGCCTTAATTGAGTAACATTTTCCGGGCTTGGAACTTTTGGTATGAGAACTATATTTGTGTCATTCAAACCGTCTGGAATATTACCATTATTAAAGAACTCGTGAACCAGCTTGTGTAAGCTATCCCCCACGACTTCCCAAGAATTCTGATAAAATAACGCATTAAAACCGTCCGAGCTTGGGGCTTTGATCAGGAACATGTCAAAAAGAGCCTATTTAACCTCAGCCTTTGTGACATCCTTAAAATATAAAATTTTCACATGTTTAGGGGTTAAAAAAATATTTTAAAAATATTTTTATTTTAAAAATATTTTTTAGCAACCCAAACACTCCCTTAGTCCCCCATCAAAATGTGATAAAGTAAAGTCATTTTATTAAGAAAATTAAAACTAATTAAAATAAATCTCATCATGCTATATTTATTTGTAACTGTATATTAATTTCATTTTGAAATCATTGATTCACATATTTGAATTGGTTATTTTTTCTTTAATTATTCTCATTGTAAGCATAAATGATATGACAATAATTAATTTATGATATTTATCAAGATTGTGTTTTTTTTTTAAATATAAAATTGTTGCATGTTTAGGGCTTAAAAATATTTTAAAATTATTTTTTTCAGTAAGTATTTTTATTTTTAAAATATTTTTCAGCATCCCAAACATTCTCTTAGTCTATCATCAAAACCTGATAAAGAAAAGTCATTTCATTAAGGAAATTAGATCTAATTAAAGTAAATCTAATCAAGATATATTTATAACGGTATATTAATTTCATTTTGAAATCATTGGTTCAAATATTTGAATTTTTTTTCTCTTTAATTATTATAAACATAAATGATATTTTAGTAATTAATTTATAATGTTTATCAAATTGTATTTTTAAAACTATAGTGTTTTACCCGAGTGTTGCACGGAATTTTTTTTATTATGAATTTACAATTAAAAACAAAAAAAATGAAAAGATGTTAAAATGTACAATATAATAATATAATTGGACTTCTATATATTTGGTAAGTATCTATTTTCATAACATACAAAATTTAAATTTAAATTTTATATGATTAATATAATCTCTATTACATATTTAGATAAATTTATAGTAAAAATTCACATAATTAAGTTGATTTATTCCTAATTGTATTTCATATATATTATAATTCTAAAAATATGAATAATAACTAAGAGAATTATAATTAGATATCAATAAAAATGTAATTTTAAACTTTTAATGAGTAAGTTTAAATTGTAATTGAACGTATTTTCTTATACAATTGTACAATACATTGTATATACACACAATATTTATGAATATATATATTGGAAAAATTCTATAATATACTTTCATTAATTATATTTTATATTGATAGATTTATAATTAAAAAATTACATTTAGAAATTAAAAAATTAACATTTAAATTGTGTATAATTAATACATTGAATAAGTGTATGTATGTATGGATTTAATTAAATTTATAATTATTTATTAACACATATTTTGTTAATTTTATAATTTCATTTTTTAATTATATTTCATATTTTATTAAATATTCCGTATAATTTAATAAAATTGTCACAAATATTGCAACGGAAGAAATATTATATTTCTCAATTTTATTAATTATATTAATTATAATTACCAAATATTGTGGAAACTACTATAATAATTTCATTAATTATATAAGTAATATTTATTAATATGTATATAGGAAAATTCTATAATATAATTTCATTAATTATAATTTATATTGATAGATTTATAATTAAAAAATTACATTTAGAAATTAAAAAAGTAGCATTCAATTTTTGTATGATTCATATAGTGCATAAGTGTATGTATGTATGTATTTAATTTTTTTTTTTAAATATTC